CAAGAATGGGGAATGAATCAGCACGTGCAAGTGCTGCAGCAGCAGCACCATATGCATAACGTGCGTCTGGACCAGCACCAGCAGATACTGAATCACGATGGTTTGTCTCTGAAAAATCTGGCGGCAGCAGCTCCGCAGTGCGGGTCATCCAATGTGCAGGGTGCACCAATGGAACCAAATGTTGGCAGTAACAGTTTGCATGGGTGTGCCTTAGAAAGAAACAACAGTATCAACGGGCAGAGTGGGGGTAGCTCTGCCATAAATTCTAGGGGAACTTACATGGAATCTGATAAGCACATAGCTGGAGAAGGAGGAACTATCAGTGCAACTGAAGGTGGTAGCAAAAGTGAAATTGATCAAAACCGTCTTGCACAAAGAGAGGCTGCTTTGCATAAATTCCGCCAGAAGAGGAAAGATAGATGCTTCGAGAAGAAGGTAACTCTAGTTGTGTTTTGAGTTTTATCGCGTGTAATGCGTTACTTCTATGGTTAATTTTGATTGAGTATTTAACAAAACGATTCTTCACCTTTTCAGGTTAGATACCAGAGCAGGAAAAAACTGGCGGAAGAAAGGCCCCGTGTTCGTGGACAGTTTATTCGAAATGTGGTAAATGAAACCAAAGGCAACGATACAGATAGCTAAGCTTACTCAACTCATTGCTAGTGGTTTTGTCCATGAGAACAGGACTAGCCATGTATACCCGATGAAGCATCTTCGATGATGCAGGATGGGGCATACAGCATTTGGCATTCAAAATCTACATATCTAGTATGGTTAAAGACTAGATTTACTACAGGGGGACAACAAAAGACATGGATTTATGTTTTTTTTTTTTTTTGACTTAAACAATTTCTTTTGCGATTTTACTGCAGAAGGCAGTAATTATTGATGGCGTAGCCTAGCCTTCTCCAATACAAACATATGTCTAGAGCGTTGTTAGTCAAAACTTGAATTTACACCATTAGACGATGCTTCGTATTCATACATTCATACAGAACAGAAGATGCTATATGTATGTAAGGGCCGAAGAGTGTCAGAAGAAGAAAAAACTGCAGAGATTGCACTTGCATATTGGAGAATCAGATTTCACCCCTTTTGCATACGAACATACACAAAAATGTCACTTAGCAGTTACAAAATTTACAATATAATATATTGTAGTGTGTGACTGAGGAAGGGAGAGACTAACCGCAGATCATTGCCGGCGCACTGAATTCAATCGTTAAAGCTATGTAGCCGCTGGACAATGCGAACGCACTTGAACGAAGGAGAAAAAATGAATTTCAGAGAAGCAAAAGCAAATGGGGTGGCCTAACTTCCTCTTAATTCGGGATTCAAACCTTCTGTAGTACCGAAATGCAAGTATCCCAATTAGACCAATCTCCGCCCCGGCCACCCTCACACGCATCCCTAGCCGCGTCACTGTCTGGTGGCTCAACTCGCTTACAGAAATGGTTCGGCGGCGAACTTCCCTTCCGTCAAACAAAAGACTGATTAAAACTTTATCAGCTGCGTAATATACAGTTGGGCAAAAGTCAGCATGAAAAGCACGTTCCTTTTTACTACGGAATTGGATCATATCCGGATCCATTTGTGGGATCTAAGGATTCCCACATTTTAGTCTCTCATCATATATCATGCGGTCATAAATTATTTGATTTTTTTAATTTAAAATTAGACATAATAGTATCTGATAAAAACTGATCACGATGTACAATAAATGATTAGAATGTAAGGATTCCTAGAATCTCACAAAATAGATCCGGAGAAAATCCTCTTTCTTTTAGTCAGCCTTATAATTAGGCAGATTTTTAACGTGTCAAATTTAGGGTTTAGGCCCAAAAAGCCAAATGAAGAAAATATATGTTTTGTCCTGACAGATCACGTCATTTAAACTACCTACTCACAAAAATACCCCGTGATAGACTTGCCTTGCATATTGTAGTCTCATCCACTCCTCAAGTGGTTCCTATACCCTATCTTGGTTGCGGGCGACAATTCCATGACCCTTGCTTGGAAGGACTTCTATGAAATAGATACACAATTAATGATTTCGGAGCTCATCCTACAATTAAAACTTGTTTTGTTTCTTTATAATTGGTCATTTACCAGGGCTCGCACAATAAACTATTTATAAAAGAAAAAAGAAATCGTCATTATATGCTGTCAAAATTAGTAGAAACGTCTTTGATATCAATTCACGTAGGAATTAACACTTTGGTTAGGATCTTCTTTCATGCCATCGAATTGTGTTACGTGGTAGTCCACCTTGGATTTGAGGGACTGTGTACTGTGAAATGGAAGTTATTCTAAGTGTGGACATGGTGGAAGAAGCATGTCAAGAAAAAAGAAATACAACAATTGCAACCCTATTTTCAAAAACACATCTAAAATTCATAAATCCATTTTTATTTATGCAATGGAAAATAAATACAACAATTAATATCAATGCATGGGAAACTCTAATTCATTAAAAATTCAAAATCGAGATCAGGCTAATGGTTTGAGTCCAAAACACACTTCTCATGTTTTTTTTTTAGTAAGAAAGTAAAACACATGAATATAGCAGCTTCATGCATTTTTCATGGTTTTACTGCAAGGGAACGAAAATTATATGTAAACTTGATAATTTTTAGTATAATTGGAGTAAAGATCGCTGAGAATATGAATTACTTATACAAATATTACCGATTATCTAATCGTCTTGTGGGATATTGGGGTGGTATTGTGAGATATCGGAGTGAACTAAAATTGTCCATTTAAGGCATGTTTACATATAGGAATGTACATGGCGGAGTGGGAGTCGTTCCCCATTCTTGATCATTCTTTCGATTACTAACACTTGGGAATGAAAAAAGTGTGTGGGACCCACTTACTAAAGGGAATCACACTCCCCAAACTCCCGGAATTAAATTCTCGACATTGAGGTGGTAATTGAATTCCCCGAAATGAAGCCTATCAAGAATCCAGCTTTTGTAGCAATATTACCCCATAGTTCTTTTCTATTCCAAAACACTCGTTGTGGTTTTACCTTCCAACTCCTCTGCAACCCCAGACCACTCTCTCAATCTTCTGCCTTTCCCAAATCTACCACCATGAACGAACACGGACACAATAACAACCGTACCGACCACGCCTATCACAACCCCTCCTAAAACCACCACAAATATAACAACCACAAATTTAGAGAAAATGAAAAGAAAAAAGCCAAACATCATACCCACTAGTAGGCGACCCGCTCAGGAAGCATATATGAGATCTCTGAACTTCGACCCACTCATCAGCTTTCACAAGCACGTTGGATTGAACGGCGTTGCGAACCATGATGGAAGTAACCAAGAAAGCGGGGAGGGAGGACATAGAGGAGAGAGATGGAGGGTTTCAGAAATTGGGGCTAGCGGCGGTGGCTATAGGGGTAAGTGGGATGGAGGGCAAGGAAAGGCGGGGATGGGGGAGGGCTATTGCGGTTGGGAAATAAAGTCTTCATGATGAAGGGGGTGGTGTGGGGAAGACAGACACATGGTTTTGGGTGGCGGGGGACAAATGGAAATAACCATCTTCTAACAAAAAGAAACTTCTTTAATTCTTTTTTATATAGATAAATTTTGGTATATAACATTAGTTTGATTATTATTTTATTTTATTTGAACAATAAATTAGTTTGATTAATTAGTATAAAAATAATTTATTTATATAAGGGTAATTTAGTAATCAAGCTAGTTATAATTCCGATTCCAGTGAATTAGTAAACAACTTATATAGAACCAACATCATTCCTCTCTGAATTCAGACAGTTTTAGTAAACAACTTCAACAGAAATCTTACCCTACTTCCACCTCATTCCAATTTCTCCTCAATTTAATTCCTCTCAATCTGATTACGGATTAGTAAACACGCCTTAGAGTCCATTTAGAGGATTAATTTTAATAATTTGGCAAAATTTAACAATAAAGAGGCACTATTACCTTTTCATTACGTCTCCTTTTAATAAACGTTGAGGGAAACAGTCGATTTGGATCTAATTATAGAAGGGACAAAAAAGGCTCACCACTAATTCGATGACCAGACCAAAACACCACCAAAACTCTACCTGCCAATTTCGCTAAAAAACCATGCAATCACAATTCTGCAAAGGAGGTGGATATATTCCAAATTCAACGTCCTTTTAACGTATCTTTAAAATTAAAAGGTAAATCCAAATCACATTACAATTGCATTTGTTTATAAAAATAAAAAAATAAAAAATAAAAAAATCCACCTGATTATTGTGCCGGTATACGATATAGACCCCATAGAAAAGAAAAAATAAATTAGTTTGATTAATTAGTATAAAAATAATTTTTTTTTATATAAGGGCAATTTAGTAATCAAGCTAGTTTTAATTCTGATTCCAGTGAATTAGTAAACAACTTATATAGAACCAACATCATTCCTCTTCAATTTCAGACAGTTTTAGTAAACAACTTCAACAGAAATTTTATTCTACTTCCACCTAATTCCAATTCCCCTCAATTCAATTCCACTCAATTTGATCACGGATTAGTAAACACGCTCTTAGAGTCCATTTAGAGGATTCATTTCAATGCCGGTATTCGATATAGACCCCATAGAAAAGAAAAAAATAAAACGAAATTGTTTCCTATTGTTATCATCGTAATGCAAAGATGATGGGAATGAAACAAATTCATTTGATCCTTGGGATTATTGTGCCTAACTCAATTTGATCACGGATTAGTAAACACGTCCTTAGAGTCCATTTAGAGGATTCATTTCAATGCCGGTATTCGACATAGACCCCATAGAAAAGAAAAAAAATAAAACGAAATTGTTTCCTATTGTTATCATCGTAATGCAAAGATGATGGGAATGAAACAAATTCATTTGATCCTTGGGATTATTGCGCCTAACCTAACCCTATGACCTAACTATGTCAGTCAAATAGTCATTCAACAACAATGTGATGCAAAACATACGCTCTAATTGTTTACCAAAAGAAAATATGTGCTAATAATCCTCAAATGCTCATTGAGCATGTGCTAATTAACGATGATAAGAGTCGCATTCACAACCCATTTTATTTCGGTTTCAGGGCAGGTCGGGATGAGAATAACAACATTCATGTCGCCACATTAGTACAACCCGTAACGCAGATATACTTTCCACCATCCCAAGGGAGCCTCAATCGCTATATTCACCCACAATTTGAAATTCCTTAACAACGCCGCGTATATGATCCTCAAGTCTTGCTTCCGGGATAGAAATACTCGACACCATTTTCCTTTACTTTGAATTGGAAATTCGACACCTTGTTTCTCGATCCCTCATGCCCATCATAAATCCCCCTGTTTTTAACTGTCAACTGCAACCAAGTACAACAATCAGGATCATAGCTCGTGCATCCGTGCAGCAATGTAGGTATTATCTTTAACTATTAGGATGAACCTTTTGTGAAGTAATAGAGACTACAGTCGTAACTGGCAAGTCACAAGCAGCACGGTAGCAAGCAATACAAACGGACATAGTTCTCACAATTTTTCAATTGTTAACACCAATTTGTGAAGAGCAAAGAACAAGGATATCAAGAAAAAGGACCATGACACAAAAACCCCAATCATACACATGAGCATAATATGGTTAACAAAACTAATTAGATTATCTGTTTTCATAACAACCAAAGACCCATAAAGTAAGCTATTAATCACAAATGAGAAGAGGGGACCATACAAGAATGATGTGACGGGATATAATTCCTAGCACTCTCCCTATGAAGAGAGACATAACATTTGTTCTAGCAAATACCTGCCCGTGCACATCTGAGGCTAACCCAGTGGCCAACGGTTCTGCCCTTATCAGAATGTCTGCTAGATGCTCCATCTGTAATATAAGGGTAGGCTTCGCTGTGCCTGAATAGATATCCTCGTGATTGAGCATGATCAAAGAACAGCCCTGAGACAAGAAAAGGACACAAAATAAATAACAGAACAAAAGGAGTGGAAGCATGAAAGGCGGAGAAATTGAGACAGTTGCAAGCAATGCCTTACAGATTCTGATATTAAAGTGTGACAGTAATGCAGAAAGTCCAGCACAAGATTTGCAGATCCTTAGCAGCCACCTCCATGAGGGAAATATCATCAATCATAACTGGTGACACAGTTGTTCTCTTGAGCTAAGGCACTTATAGTCTTTTGGATTTTCCCATACAAAGCAATTAGTCCACAATCACTGTTTTTCCCTTCATCTGCATCACAATTGAATGAGATGATTTCTTGTCATGAATTTAATGATATAAAGAAACCCAATAATCCAACAATTTCTGATAACCAATACTAACAACTCTTACACTTTTCTCTTAACGAACAAAGATTTATCAACCGAAATTGAACTACGGTTAACATCAGTCCTGCAGTAAATCCTATATCGCTTCAAATTACAGTGATTACAGCAACCTAAAGAAGATTTATTTGTCTGCAGGTCTCTTATATGAGGATCATTAGCTAACTTTTAGCTACTCAGGACATGTAAATCAATAAGGACATGTCGGGGATTTGCATTTGATGGAAAATTAATTAGTAAATAAGAGTAAGCCGGGCTGAGCCGGTAAACTGAAAGACCAATTCATACCTGATTTTCTCACCTGGGCAGTCCATAAGCATGTCAAGAAAAAAGAATCTATTATTGTCCCTCTGTGCAGCCAAATTGCAACCCTGTTTCAGAAAACACATTCAAAATTCAGAAACCCCATTTTTATTAATGTAATGGAAACAAATATAACAATTACTAATAAATGCTTGACCAATGTAAATTAACACAAAAAATAGCAGCTAAACATGAAACTATGAACAATCAATCGAAAGTAAAAGTAACAGTTTAATTCTTTGTAAAGAGAGAGAGGGAGTACGAGTCTTCGGAGGATGCGATCGTAGTGAGAGAAGGGGTGGGCGAAGGCAACAAAAACGACGGCGTTGGAGGTGGAGTGGGGAGACTGAGAGAGAGAGCGCTTGAGAATGTGGTGGAGGACGAAAGCGGCGCTAGTGTCGACGCAGTCTTCGAGGAGCACAACGCGGCGGCTGAGATGCCCTAGCGCTTCGTCCAATAAGCCTCCTCCCTGCTCCATCTTCGTCTTCTTCCTCGCAGTCAGCTTTTAGGGTTTAGGGTTTCTGAATTTCTGATTTCAACGGTTTGTTAAGCAGAACTTGATTTCAACGGTTTTGGGCCTGCTACGCACTTCACCCGCGCCTTTTTTTTTTTTTTTTACTATTTTATTATTATTATTTTTTTTTTTTGTTCGGGAAAAAGAAATAGAATTGTGATTTTCAACCCACTTTTTTTACTTGTACACCTCTGTTAATGTTATTCTAATTGCTCAATCTAATGACGACGAAATTAGAGGGGTACGTATGAGGTGAGAAATGGTGGATGAAAATTTTGAAATATTTTTCAAAATTAATTATTTATGAAAGTGAATAGTATGAAAATTAAAAAGAATTATCCAACAAATAGAACTTTCGAACACAGGCACATAATAATTAAAGATTTGATTATTGAAAAACACCCATCGAATAGCTTGCTTTATGAGTTCAAGGAAAATTATATAAGACTCACTTTAAAGTGCAAATAGAGAAAAATTGTATGTCAGACTCATAATTACTTCTTAACTTATCTCAATCTCTCTTTATTTACGTTACCACATCAATTGTATCTATCATTCATTCATTGCTTTACATTGATTCAGTAAGGGAAATGTTATTGGTATTTCAAAAATCTCATTCTACATTTCTTATAAGTGTATTTTTTTCCTAATATAAAAAGTATAGAGTGTAGAACGAGAATTTTTTAATAGAAATAACAATTCCCTTCACTAAAAACTACTTAAATTTGCGCTATAGAAATTCAAATTCAAATCTAAATTCACCTTTTACTAATTCTTAAAGAAATCACCCAGAGGTAAATTTAACCCAAGTACTATTCATTTCAAATTACGACATGTTTAAACATAAATTCCTTGAAACGCGGTCAAAGTCACGTTGAAAATGATGTTTTTGAAATTGACATTATTATGCTTTTTAAAAAATTTTGTTCCAAGAAACTGGCCTTATTTTTTATTATTTTTTTAACAGAAAAACTGGAATTTAATAGTATATTACCTTTCATATCCAGCTGTCCATTCTGCTTCTAGTTTTTTTTTTCCCCTCAAGTGAAAGCCAAATATTGTATTTAAAAAAGCAAAAAAGTGAAACCCAATTATTTGGTTTTGTATTTAATCATGAGATGTTAACTGTTTAGCTCGTGGGTGAAATTTAAAATGGTACGTGGGTCCACCATTTAGTATTAAGATTTAGTAATTTATTTTTTTTTAAAGTGAAAAATCTTAAATTTAAATATGGTAAATAATGAATTTTTAAGAAAAATTACTTTTGCATCGAATGACATGTTTGAAATTTTTTTTATCATTTTTTTTTAATGTCATTATTGCTTTATTTGTTTACAAATATACCCTTGAAATAATTAGATGCGAATTTCGTTCAATTTGTAAACCTTTTTATTTGAAGTGTGCTTTTGTTCAAAACATTTTGATGAAGCTCGTGATCCCAAAATAGAATTCTAACTTTCTAATAGTATAGATATATTGTTGTGTGTCTATATATATATATATTGTTACAACGTGAGCATAACTACATTAATTAACGAACGTATTTTCCCGTTGCATCACATCAGAATTACAATTGTTATCTTCATTAGCTGCCAATTGTCATCATGTTTTGGAGTAAAGTGGTCACTTGAGGCTGAGCTGAGTCAAAGCAAAACAATGGAAATACTGAGATTCTGTGGGAAGAAATACAAATTCAGAAAAACTACAAGGGCACCCTTGCAAAAAAGGGTTTTCAAGAATTAAAAGTATATAATGGGAATGAACAGGTCTGTGAGAATTTAACCAACTCTGCCTCTCAAGCAACACAAAGGTTAAAAATCGGTAAGAGGTAGAAGAAAAGCCATGAGTTGGTTCCTTTGTTCTGGCAAATTAAGCAGAAAATCTGCAAAGAAGAAGAAGCTCAAGAATAACAAGCCACAAGATCAGATCTCATCAATTTCAGGTAACATTTCTGGAAATATTCTAAAGACACCATTTTTTCAGAATTTTTTACTGTTTGGAAGATGCTTGAAGATTTGAGCTTTGTGAGCCAATGTGTGCTTTTTTTACCGCGTTGAGTTACTGTTGATGAATGCAGGAATCCCATTTTTGTAATTGCTTGAATCTTAGTGTATTCGATCCCTTTTGAATATTAGCATTGTCGGGAATAATGTGCGTTTGTTTGTTGTCATGTGGTATTTGGCACTCTGGGTTGGATTTTCTTTGGTGTTTAGCATTCACAGTTATTGGGAAAGAGTTACTTTCGATTTTTAACCATAAAGTTGTGTTCTTTACTGCACTGGGTTTTCTACTGTTGCTAACCATTTTTGTTTAATCAAATCAAAATCATTAGTTTTTGTGTGTTTTTTAATCAGAGAGATGGCTTAAATGTTTACTTTTGATCAGGAAGAAAAAACGTGGAGAGAGAGAGAGGGAGAGAGAGTGAATTTATGATGAGTTCACTCGATTACTCGTTCATTTTTTCAAAACTCTGAATGATGGTAATAAGTACTAGAAACTTTTTGGATCATTATGCAATCGAAGTTTGGTTTGAATTTTATTACACAGTGAACTGTTTTTGCATTGTTGTTTATTTACCTTTCGCATTTGTTCTTTTACTTAGAACAACTGAAGGCAAATTTGGGACCATCTGTAAAAGAGGCTCCTAAGGATGGAGGCCCCGGTCACATTGCAGCACATACATTTACATTTCGAGAATTGGCAGCAGCAACAAAGAACTTTCGAGCAGATTGTATTTTAGGTGAAGGAGGTTTTGGTCAAGTATATAAAGGGCGCTTGGAGAGCACTAATCAGGTTCTTTCCAAAGCTTTGACAATCAACGACATGAAAAATTAAATTACCTGTCTTTCCTTTTTACAATTCTTTATGCCTTTCATTTCCCATTCTCAACCTCACCTTAACTGTAAGATTTATTTCTTGCATCGTAAATTTTAATTTCTAAAATTAAACTTTATTTCATATGATGTACTTACATATTATGATTTTTATATGCTTTGATAAAGTAGAGTGTTGCAAAGGATGACCGAAGTAATATTGTTTGGTGAAAGACCGGAAAGGTTTTGAGTGTGGCGCTAAGCCTAATTCTGGGTGGTCTCGAATTTGATAAGATTCAATCCACTTCTATCGCTGCAGATAATAGGGGTGTACTCATATCTACTGTCATTGATATTTTTCCGTCTGTACTAGAAGTTCGTTTGTTGTCGCATCTTTGACTTCACATGCTTTGCTTGTGGTAGGAGCTGAACCTTGTTCCTTTTGGTGTAGGTAGTGGCCATAAAGCAACTTGATTCCAATGGGCTTCAAGGGAACAGGGAATTCCTTGTCGAAGTATTAATGTTGAGCCTACTTCACCATCCCAATCTTGTGAATTTAGTAGGCTATTGTGCTGACGGGGATCAGAGGCTTTTGGTATACGAGTACATGCCATTGGGATCTTTGGAAGACCATCTGCACGGTATATACAGCAGTAACAGCACTTGAAGCCATTATTTCTTTGCTCGAAGTTCATAATTTGATGTTGCAATAGAATGCAAGCTAACACGTTATTACCATGTCATGGCATGTTCAACGTGTCCGTGGTTATATGATGCTTAAGCACCAATTTTATTTTTCCGTCTAACTTCTATTTGGTATCTTTTAACGTTGTTAATGACTTTTATTTATCGCCATATGCCAGATCTACCGCCAGATGGAAAACATCTTGACTGGAACACGAGAATGAAAATAGCTGCCGGTGCTGCAAAGGGCTTGGAGTATTTGCACGACAAAGCTAGCCCCCCTGTTATTTATCGTGATCTTAAATGCTCAAACATTTTACTTGGTGAAGGATACCATCCTAAGCTATCGGATTTTGGCTTGGCAAAGTTGGGTCCTGTGGGAGATAATACTCATGTTTCCACCAGGGTGATGGGAACCTATGGATATTGTGCCCCTGAATATGCAATGACTGGTCAGCTCACATTGAAATCAGATGTATACAGCTTCGGGGTTGTTCTTCTGGAAATCATTACCGGAAGAAAGGCAATTGACATTTCCAGGGCTGCCGGTGAACAGAATTTGGTCACATGGGTAAGAGAGTTGTGTCTTCTTCTTTGCTTTTGTACATTTTATTTTCTCTGCTAATATGAAAACATATGAAGAGTGCTTGGAACACTCAAATGAGTTTCGTACGAGGTTGCAATTAACAACTGCAATATTTTATGAGTGAAATCAACGATAGGAAGGACAAGCTATTTCTTGCTAAATGGCAATCTCGACTCTTGTGAACTTTCTGCTCATAAACTCTTTGTCGCAGGCCCGTCCCTTGTTTAGAGATCGGAGGAAATTTTGGCAAATTGCTGATCCAATGCTCCAAGGTCAGTATCCAGTGAGGGGAATGTATCAAGCTCTAGCCGTGGCTGCAATGTGTGTCCAGGATCACCCTAATATGCGACCTGCCATAGCGGATGCAGTGACAGCCCTTAATTACCTTGCTTCCCAAAAGTATGATCCTGAAGCACGGCAATCACACAGCTCTCACACAGCATCGTCCACTCCTAGGTCTAGGAGGGAACCTTTAAATTCATAAGATAAGTCTTAGTCGACATGGTTCCATCTTCGGAGCTTGTGATGAGAGCATGGTTGTTGTCACCAATATAGCCGTCGTGTTTCCCTTCCGTAGTGGGGTTTTAGTTGTGATTCAGAAGTCAATTTGTTTGGAGCTGGAGTGGTATTTTTGTTGGCTGTAAATGCAATGTTGCCTGTTTATCGGAATTTCCCTCACTCCGGTAGCTGGTGCGGTGGTCGCTCCCCCGCTTTTCCTGTTTTTCTTTGCTTCCTCCTCCGCCCTTTTCCTTCACTCGCCTTATACAAGATTCTTTGATTTGATGTACAACTGAGCAATAAGAACCATAGAAATGTATCCAAATTATTTGATAATTGTAGCAATGGTTCCCCAACTGAAACCCAAATGGAGGAATGGTCTCTCAACTAAAAATCCTTCACCATTGGTCTTTAACTCATCAAAACGTGCAACTATGGTCTTTTTCATCAACTCTGTTAGAACTTCGTCAAAATGAGCTAGAATTGTATTTAAGTTGAGAGACCATTGCTCCAATTGGGTTTCAGTCGAGGGACAATTTTTTCAACTGAGTTAAAGTTGAGAGATCATTAATATAATTTTCTCATTTGGTTTTTAATATTTGCCTTGATTAAGCCTAGCATGTATGACATGTGATTCATTTTGACCGAAGTTCTGATAGAGTTGACAAAAAAGAACATTGCTGCACGTTTTGATGAGTTAAGCAATCAATGATCATGAATTTCTAATAGAAGGACTATTATTCCAATTAAATCAACGTTAATGCGCCATTACTACAATTTCCTCAAATCATTTATGGGAATATGGGAATTTTACAGATTTTGGTGAATGCATTACCTCATCCTGTGCAACTGCATGGTTATTGATTATCACTTCCATTGTCTCCTACGCTCGCTTGGTTTCTGTCCCTTTTTTTTTGTTCAACCCAAGAGCTAAAAAAGAGTGCACGAGAAGAAAAAGAAAATGCGGAAATCACTCTGCCAACATTTTCAGACAATTTTGTACCTGCTCAAAATTAGTAAATGAACTATTATTAGTCTCATATTACATATTGAACAGTAAGTAGCAAAGAGATAGACTTCGTGTGGTGCTACTTTCACCCAAAAACGTTAATTTTGAGAGAGAGAGAGAGAGAGAGAGAGAGAGAGAGAGAGAGAGAGAGAGAGCAACATAACTACATTTATCTGATCAAAAGAGAAAAGAAGAGGAACTGTACGTTTCGAAAAGTCATACAAATACAAGAACGACGAAAATTATACACCTATGTAAACCATATATCATCCATATTTTCTACATTTTCTTCTTCCTCCCCTACATTATTATTACCACTACTTAATGAACAATCAAACAATGAATGGATAAAAAATTACATACGAAACTATATCTCCCTGGACCGACGGACACAGAAAAGCATACTACCAAAGCTTTTGCACATTTGAGTAATATACCATCGGGCACCGAATATCTATAGGGATATACCAATAGAGACTTTGGCCTGCTCTATTCTTTATCTTCCACTTTAACGACATTTGTCTCTTTTACTTCTGCTTCCGCAGTGGGGCTCTGTCCTTCACTGGTAGACTTGCCATCATTTGGCTCCTCACTGTTAGCATGTTTTCCCTGGTGCATTCAATAGGTGATATTAACCGCAAATAATATGGAAAGATACCGGTGATCTTAGTCAAACGACCTATTAATCGTATTCTCCTACTGTTTTTGTCACACAAATGTTAGATGTCAAGGGTACAAGAAGGGCTAACCTTGTTCCGGTCGCGCCAGCCAAGGCCAAATGGTCGACCAAGCAAACTAATCTTTCTAGCAGGAATTTCTTGTGTCAGCTGCTCTTGATTGCTTTGTACTGGTGAAGATACAGATCTGCAAAACAACCTTTTACTTCAATTTCCACCTACCGAAAGCTGAACAACCTTTCATATATCTACGCCACAACTAAAGGAAGGACTAAATCAAGGTAGATACAAACAAAACCAAGAGTGAAAAACAGGTGATCGAGTAACTTTCAACAATGAATAAAATAAGACTGCAGAGACTGTTACCGTGGAGATTGTGCTTTCACTTGACCAGATTGGTATTGCAAAGTAGCCTCCAACATTGATTCTGCCATAACAGCTCTCTTCTCCATTTCCGCAAGCGCAGCAGTGGCCTCTTCATACTTCTCCTGCAAGAATGTGTTTACAATTTATAAAATAAGAATAAAAAGTATTGACCTGAAAAATTTTCACTCTGCAGTCGGAGAATAGTTTGGTCAAACTACATGCGTTAAATTAGTAAACTAATCTTATACATGTGGTTCTAAAATCTAACATCACAGTTTTTCATTATTACATAAAAGAACGAGTCAGATATACGGTTTATCTAGGCAACCTGAAGCACTTGAGCAGCATATCTCTGTGCTTCTGCATCTTGCTCAGAAAATCTGCGAGCATCTTCTGTTAGTTTCTGCTCTTGCTCTACTCGCATTAAGACCTGTAAGATAGGAAGCAATCTTTCACTGCTCACAAACCCAGAACCAGTATGGAAAAGACAGAACTCCCAATGACAAAGGACGAGGAGACAAAACCTGGAGCATGACGCTCTCCTGTTCCTGCTTATCAGAAAGGGCTCGGCGAAGCTCAGCAACCTCTTGCTCTAATTGCTCAACCTGATGAAGCGAGAAACTCCATGTGAAATATCTTTGCTAGTAACTTTCCAAGTACAAGGACAAATAAATGAGAATTCCACACTAGAAACAAAGATGTGTAGTTGATGCAATAAGCCAGTGAAAGATCTGATCTCAGAGCATATTAGCTACTCATTTAATCATCATAACTAAAATGCTTTGTTGCCCTAATATTAGATGTAGCAAGTAATAAACAAGTTTTGCAGTAACATATCTCAAATTATTCACCAATGAAATGAGGCAGATTCATAAAAGAAATAAATATATAGAAAACCATCTCTTTCATTAACAAATTAAGCTATGTATAAAAGTTTCTTGGATGTACCCTGGCACTCAGTTGCCGACGATTATCTTGCTTGACCATCTCCATCAATGCTGTCTCCAGCTCCTCAGCTCTGAAAATTTGGGAAAGACCCAGAATATCAGCATTACTTTAGAATAATAATCTGGCTCAATAACAATCACATTTGTTACTAGATTTAATAGTTGTTACTGAAGCATAGTGTGAAAGTTTAGAAATGGTCCTAGAAACATTAGTAATGGTCGTCAAACTGTTTAGATATTTGTACTCTTGTGAATGTAGGTGTCAGTTGATGCGTAATTAACATAAAGATTTGGCATAAATCTAAGGAAAATAAAATATTTCAACTTAAGGATTTTATCACTAGTTTAGAAAGCTAGTTTCCTATGTGATATTTCAGGATTCCATGGAATCACACAAAGCTGCTTCATTTAATGGTGGTCGGGATAATGCTGAGAATGATCTATTAATGGAAGTAAAATTAGGAGGAGGTTCATAGAAGAACAGTTAAATGTCTAAGCAATCAAGTATGTTCCCAACAAGTTTCTAGCACTTCCAACTAAGGACATTTTCACACAAAAACAAATCCATAGGCTCCTGTTGTTCATAATGAGGGCTTCAATGAATGGTTATAGTAGTGTTTGCAGAAACCATCATACGATGGTTGGACTTGAAGACTGCAATGAATGGTCGTAAAGTGCTTGACCCCCAAATCCTAGATGCCCTTGAATAGTCAAGATTAATACCAACTATGAAGTAAATATAAACTATTTTTCTTTTTGAAATTTCTTGGCTTACATTTTTCCTTCCAACCTATCAAAATGAGCTATTTTTTATATGTATTTAACCAATGCATTGGGGAAATTGAGAGTTACATTGGCATCCAACATATCAAAAAGGAGTATTCTGTTAAGTGAATGTAGATTTTACAAGGAAAAAACAAACAAACAAAAACCGCTTAACACCATAATATGAACCTGAGTTCAGCAGATCTTTTATCCTCCAGCAGCTTGCATAATTCAACCTTCAACCATACCACCTGCACGAATAACCTAATTTAAATCTCAAAGTTTGATTATGAGGAAAATATTTCAACAACCAACCACAAAAAAGTTAATGCAGATTAAGTGGCAACCCATGGACAGAACAAAATGCACTCCACTACTTTGGCAAACAAAAGAAGATTATAATGAGGGTGTGGTTGCATTGAAAAGAAATAGCAACCTGTTCTTGAAGATCTGGAACGGAATCTAATTCCCCATTTCCAGTCAGGCCAATAAGAATTTCATCTGCATTAGAGGACCCAGACTCTGAACGAGATAAATCACCATTTGTCTGTGAATTGATCAAACGTTCTGCTTTCTTTGCCTCTATTATCAATGATTTAGGATCTTGCTTAAAATTATAAAGCTTAGATGCTAGACCCTGAGAATCTTTCAAAGCCTGAAGTCCCTTTGATCTTTCATCAATAGCGACAATTACAGCTGGCCGATGTTTATTTCTCAGCTCTTGTAATCTAGTTTCATTTACATTTTGGTAACCCATGCAAGCAGTCAATACCAGTTGACTGCTATCGAATGTAGAGCCAGCCAGTGATTGCAGAAGAGTGACAGCATCTCCAGCATCCTTAGTAGTAACCAGTGCAGGGCCTACACGCAACTGAGCCAAATTAAGTTTCATAAACCAGAGAAGCCTACAGGCCACATGGTACTATATTCATATTGAATATCCATATTATATGCAATCTTTTTCTTTAAAAAAAGGGAAAATAAATCTGTTTTATCCAGTACCATATAACTCCATCAAGGCAAGTGCTGTTCTGAACAGCATCACGCGGTTCCCCTCAAAAAGAAGAACGTCCCAGACCCGAAGAACTGAAGTCAATAGGAAGCAATCATATTAGAGGGTAGGCTATAAGATGTACCTATAAAAAAAAAGTTAGTTTTAATTACAAAGACACATATAAAACCTGACCACTTTCCCATGGAAGCATGTTCATGAAAATGGTAAGGAACCATGGCCCGGTAACCCATGCCACCTGCACTCCCAGGTAACCTAGATGGTTGACTGCAATGTGAATAAAGGTGACATTAAGTGATCGCTCAACAAATATATAATACAAGGAGAAGCATCTACTGTGTACATAATAATATACAAACCCAATTTAGGAAATCTCTCATGCACCAACTCCTCAAAAACAAGTTGATCCACCTGGTAAAATACAGACCATCAGTATATGTCTAAATGTCAACCATCTGCAGTTATACACTAACATGGTTTTCACAATTTCGTTAATGTACCTGAGATTCTATCATTTCCTCGGAGTAATAGCCATCAAAATAATCATCTAAGAGCCCCATTAAAGCCCTGAAAGTTTTGCCAATTTTGTCATTACACAAATCCATACAAGTGTAACAGTTCAATACGCAACAAAAACTTCTAAATTTCAAGGACAATTGTTATTCCTTTCAAAAGAAAACTCTGCTCTCTAATTTCTTCAAGGTAAGCATCCAAAATTAAGTCAAGTAATGACAAACGAAGGTGATTATCCTTTTGGGGAAGTTAATAAACAGCGAATCAAGTTTCAGATCTTACCAAAAGGCATTTTCTTCAGGCATGAGAAGTAGTAATAAGCCAGCAAAAAAATTCATGGCCTGCATGTAGAAGCCCAACAAGCATTAAAGTCAGTTAGAAGTGAAACAAAGAAAATAATTGATAACACTGGCTAAATTTAAACACAAATATTGACGCATTACAATCACTCAAATATAGAAGGGGGTTCAGTTACAGCTGCATCTAAGTCACATCCATAACCCTCGGGAAGATGCAGACTTAATGTGACAAATAATCTTGACATTTAAAATAAGGCTAAGATTCTCTGTGGATCACAAATTAATCCTATAGCCTTTAAGGCCTAAATTGGCCAGATCCTGTATTCATTAAAACTACTCCATTCACAATAAACTTATAAACTTATAGAAACCCATAACCTATTTGTAAAATGTTATTCATAAATACATAAATCAAACTCATGAGCATTACAGTCTCGGTATAATTGTACAAATAATCACAAAAGTGTCATTTCACGGAAAAACAAAGTACTATTTTGATCCTCAAATTTCATGGCCAATTAAAGTAATGGCAACTTTACAACTTCGCAGTTACCTGACCGTAGAACACGTTCCAGAAACAATTACCTGACAGTACCCAACAGTGGGATTGTGTCGCGCATATGCGGTAAGCAAACGCCTCAAAGCATTTCTACCATCTTCATCAAGAGCAGGGTGACCTGGAAATGTTCGAGGTAGATCCTGGAAATCAGATCATTGCCAATAAGTTAATAACTTTAGTTGATAGTTCTTTTCAAATAAAGGAACAGCCATACTGAAGACAAAAGTTTTTTTTATATAAAGTAGTGGACAACCTTCTCAATCTGCCCTTTCCATTTTTCAGGTACAGATACAGGATCTGTTGTTGACAATTTGCTATCACTGTCTGATTCCGAGCTATGTTTTTCCACATCACCACCAGCATTAGTTTCAGAAGCTAGCAGATCCTGGTAATAGTTATCCGCGCGCCGTGCCTTCACACCGACAAAGGCTTGCCAAAGCTGAAAGTTGGAAGTAAGCAATAATCATGTTTACTCATTATAATGAAATTCGCGAAATAAAAAGAGATAATATAATTAAATATGCACCTCTCCCCTGAGAGCCATTGGCACTCCCCCACGAACAAGAACCTCCAATTCCTCTTTCCAAGGAAATAAAGATTCTGAACCAACTGTGTCAGAAGCAGCACCGGTTGCAGATGTACTCAGACTATCACTCGAAGGGACATCTTGAACTGGGTCTGACCTCTCCACATCATAGAACTCATCCTCGGAATCCTCCTCAGATGCTCCTTTTGGGGATCTAGCCTCTTGAATAGAAGTAAGTGGCTTCCCAGTTCCTGTGTCCTGCTCATGCTTTGATAAATTGTTCTTCTTCTTCTTTATACGAATACTCATCAGATTCTCAATGGCATGAAGGGATGGTCTAATCTCATTCCATATTTGGATGCCACGAGCTTTTTTGTCATTAGCTGCCAGTTCCTCCTTGTCATTGTCGCTTTTGGTTGGAGAATCAGAACCTGTCTTCTGGTCACTTAAATCATCACCATCAACACCCTTTTCTGAATTGGAGTCTAGTTCTTTTGCTGAGGCTTCGACAAGCGAGTTATCTTGTCCCTTAGATGATCCATCTACTGGCAATTCAGTAGACTCTGCTTGTAGTTCCAGGAAAGACTTCCACCTTTCTGATCTTTCCTCCTCCTCTTCCTGAAAACATATGTATATTAGAGCACAACACAGCTGGAAGTTCTGATAAATAATTCACGCATCTAGCCTTCACTGTAAAAAGTGAAAACACTGGCCGAAGGAAGCCAAACACATTCTTTGTTTAGCTTCTCAGAATGTAAGAAACTAAACGAACATAGTTGTAAATTTAATGTTTGTCCTCTTTTCCATGATCATCAATTTTTATCATAAACCAAAACGAAACAGTTAAGATAGAAGAAAACAAAAAAAAGAACAAAACCTTGTAGATACTGGCATATTCTCGGTATCGTTGTACATGCTGAGGCCTCACAGCAAATCCATAAGCATCCCTGTCCCAACACCAATGGCCATTCATTCAAAATCGCTACCGAAAAAGAAATCTTCTTTCACAAACAACAAACATATCTAACCTTAAACATTACTACACCTCCATACTAATCAATCCACAATCATATCCCAATCCAAACAGCCCAATTATGAATAACATCAAATCCAGAGCACGAAAACCAAAATTCCAAGCACGAATCGTGCTCGGGATACCTGTAACCGGCCTCGAGTCTCGATCGCAGACTCGGGCTCGACAATTCTAGTTCCCATAGCACTCGGCATTGCCTCAGATCAGTCTCAATCTAATTATACTACAAATCACACCGCATTTCACACTAAACAATCGAAAATCAACTCCCTCAATGCACTTACACAATCAAATAAACACACAAATCCTACCAAATTACACACTAATCAATCCAACGGTCAGGATCTTAATCCCCGAATCAACATATTTCTGCGAACCCAGCGAAAGAAGCAAAATGATGAGGATTACAGAAAACCTAGGAGGGCGCGTGGCGGGAAAGGAGAGGGGTAGCACAGAAGAAAAAGCGTTACCTCTTGTGCTCGTAGGCGCCGAGCGGGTTGAGCGAGACTTTGGCGGCGGATTTCATTTGTATCGGGTCCGGGTGAGCGCAGAGATCGGGTTTCGTTACGCCGCGGCTGGGCCCTTGATTTTCTGCAACTGAATTTTCAACTCAGCGTCTGTACGTGGGAGGGAGGCAGTCAGAGAGAAGACTGGGTAGAAGTAGAGTGTGAGTTGGTTGATTGAGCAAGGAAGTTGGAGAGAGAGAGAGAGAGAGAGAGAGAGAGCGGCACATGCAATGAGGGGCGAGATTGCCGTGGCATTATTACATGTGCGCCATGTCTCTTACACGGAATCCGAGATGAGGGAGACGGACTTATTTTCTGCAGAAGCAAGAGTAAATAGAAAGTTCAGTTTTTATTTTACTAAAATGGTTGATTTTGGTAGGTCATGTGTTCAATATAAATAGACGACATGATCGATAATGTTATGAAAATAATACTAATAAACAATGATAAACAACTAATGAAATACATCTTTGAAAGACGCATGAGCTCTTGCAGAAAGACTAATATAATATAAATAGATCAATAACACTGTTTGTTTTAATGCCAAACGTATCAAGAAATTAATATAAAAAAATATAAATCGAAATCGTGACGTAAATGTGAGAGTAAATACTTCCTCATCATGGTTAGAAACTTCTATTAAAAGAGGTAGAATTTTATTAAGGATTTTGGATAATTGGATTCACTTCACATAATTGTTTAAAAAGAGTTTTGAAAAATGGTGTTGAACTGTTTACCTAATTTCCTTGATTTTCATAAAAGTTAATGCTAGAAATTAATTGTTTAAAAACAGTTTTGAAAATGGTGTTGAACTGTTTAACCTAATTTCCTTGCTTTTCTTAAAAGGTTAATGGTAGAAATTAAATATGATGTTATGCTAGGAAATGATATAAAGAAATTTGATTGTTTGCCTTATTTTTCCACGTGATTTCCTTGTTTTCAAAAATTTGTTTTAGGAAATGGAAATTTTATTAGGATTTTTCGTAGAATATTTAATTATAATGTTATCTTTTATTACCGTAAAATTAGTTGACTTATAACTCATAGCCCATTTGGCATTGTGTTTTTTCTCATAGAAAAGCTGATTTACTTTATAAGGTTTTTAATATTTTTTCAATTCCCGTTATAACTTTATTTATTTTTAGAAATAACATCATCTACTATTTTCTTATAATTTTTTTCCGTGACAAAAAGTTTAGAGGGAGGGGACTCAGGGGAGGCTACTCATCTCAAGACTATGGCATACCACAAATGAGGACTTACAGAGGGAGTTTTAACCTTTTTTTCACACGTACGCTATCTCTTAAATTTGAACTCACCACCTCTCATTTTTCCAACCCAACTCCACCACTTTCTACCTCCACCTTCTATCGCCATCCACTTTTATCACTTCCACAACCGCCACCACCATCACGTAGAGTTATGAGTGGTGGCAAATTCATAATTTCTTTTCTAACAAGTAAAATAACCTTAAAAGGATTTATCCGCAATTGGTGCGCTCCAAATGAGTAAGCAAAAGCAACCAAGGCGCCAAACATGGGGGCCCACCGTCATCATTCACACTTTATCCGTATGCAATGAGAGTATGCACTTCATTCGTATGCAATGTGGTGGCTTCGAAAATTACACTTGTAATTCAATTGATCACAACAACGCGCTCGTTATTTTCATTCGAGATTAATTTACCTTACGAATAAATTAGAATAATTTTTTTTATACAAGTAAAATTGACGAAAGGAAAACTAAATCAAACACCTCGAGTGAAGCGGATAAATATTCTTAATTAGTAACGTACAAATTAGAACAGTTTAGATTTTAGAATGACAATGCAATGTTAAAAACTAAAACTAATGTATTTTCACACACACACCCTCTATCACGGTGGTGGAGATGAGTGGTTTCCTTGCATCACGGTGTAGGTCTAAACTCTGTTGGTTCTCTAATCTAACATCCAGTCTGATAAATCTATCGTTTGACCAAAAAATCTATAAGTCACAACCACAAATATTTCAAAGAAAATTTTATATAAGTTAGTTACAAATAAGTATAAGAATGGCTTCACCTTGGAAGCCATCAAATTTTTGTCTAAAAATACTTGAATTTAAACAACAACATTAGATTAGTGGAAATTTAACAAAGGCGAGTGTCATTAATGGATTTTGTAATTTTTTTACTCGAAAAATGTTAGAGAGTGACGGTACTTTTATATTATATGTTGTAAAATAAGGAAATTGATGATTGAATTTAATGATTTAAAAAAAAATTATCACTTAGCACATTATATAATATATAATATACAAAATATCATGTAAATAGATGATTTATCTAATATTATTCTTTTTTATTTAGTTAACTTGTCATTTAGGGTTTAGTTGTATTCTTTTTCTTTGTAAGTGAGAGATTTTAGATTTAATTTCCGTTAAAAATGAATTTGAATCACATTATTATTAGCCCAACTTCACCTGATAATCTAGATAACATCGTTTGTAAAAAACTTGGCAAGACTGTGAGCTTCCCCTGTCGGCGAAAGGTTTTCGTTAAAGGACCTTTTCCTCGCAAATGCCAAACGTCCCTTATTTTTTATCCGATCCCGCTCAAAGATTTTGTGTCGGTAGAAGACAACAAATTTGAGTACCCTTTATGCATGAACCTATGAAATCTGAGACATCGTTTTTTTCTTATGAAGATATTTCTTGTTATGATTTCTTTGCAACTATTCCAAGCAACAACTATACATTATCGACACAAATTTGACAATTAAAATCCGATCAAAACCTTTTCTGTCACTGAATTAGCACTAATTAAATATTACGGTTAAATATTATTTGATACTGCATATGAGCATCTTCATAATTCTCAATTTTGTTCGAATAATTTTATTCGTGAGAACCAACTTGAGTCTCGTCTGTTAAAAAAAAAAAAAAAAAAAAAACTGATCTGAAAAACTGTGTATTTATTTTTAATAAAGACTAAAAACGAAATTAAAAATGTATTACGCTTTCAAATGAAGCTAAATTATTCATATTTACTTTTAATGCAAAATTATTATTTTTTAATTTCGAGAAGGTTGCTTTTTCCTCCTTTGAAGTTACATGGACCTTTTACGAAAAGATTAACAGTGTTTAAGGCTTAAGATAAGCAACTGTGTCTACGTTATTGGGAGAAATATAATGGCACCAAGTGGCGGGTCATGCTGCTGCATATGGGGCTTTGGAATTTCCTCAGTTGATGATTGAGTAAAACTAAATGTGGGAGTTGTAATGATTAGCTAAATGCAGATGTAAATAATCACAACCTACCAATACCTATTTTTCCTTTGCACTTTCGTATTTGTAGTTTCATTTCGTTACAATTGTTAGTCCAATCCGTCACACAGTACGAAATTCGGGATGTTTTGAAATTAGAGGATGTGCACAAAAATACAACTACCGGAGAAGAGGAATAAAAAATATACCATATTTTACACACTACATTTATACTGTTTCTTATTAATTAAAAATTTCATATCAGGATGTCTCTCACTCTTCATTATCAATGCTATAAATCACGGTTGTTTGTCACAATCTCGTCTTACTAATAACACTAACTCGTGAGCTAGGAATTGCAACACATTCCCACAAGCCAAAAGCAGCCTTGGAATTGTTATTCTCACTGAATAATATCAGATTTTCTTGTGTTTTGATTTAAAACGATAATGGATAAATAACTATATTTTAAGAGAATTAAATTAACCATTTAAATTTTTTTCTTTTAGAAATGTAACATCACTGGCCTTTAAAAATAAAAGTGAGTGGGATTTTGGGGCCCAATGGGACTGCCAAGATGGAGCCCAACATATGTGTTTAGTGATCCTTTGCCTCGGTTGAAATATATTTTGGAATGCACACCATTTTAGAAAAAGAAAACTAACTAAAAGTTAAAAAAAAAAAAAAATTTTTAATGAAAAACCCTTTTAAATGTATAGTGAATAGTACAAGGGAAATGTATAAATGTGGTTTTTTGTTAAAAGTGAACAGTACCAGAAGTGTTATGTTAAAACTCCATTTTAAAAAATAAAAACAACTACAAAACATTAAAAGAGGATCAAATTTTAATTAAGGAACACTTTTTTTAATTACAAATCTAAACTAAGAGGATGGGGATGATTTAAACCCAAAAGCAATGGTTTGAAGAGTAAGACGTTAATCATTATGACAATTCACCACTTTGTAATTAAAGAGTATTTACATCTGAAAAATCATGGTGAAGCAAAAAGCCTATGCCTTTCATTTTTGGAAAATTGGTTTAGTATCCCTTTACAAACCCACCAACCAAAAGTAGCACTGCTCTCCAAATGTATCTCTTTTATCCCTCTCTAACGAAAATGCCTTCAAGTTCATATATTATCGACATAATATTAATACATTACTGAAACAATGTTGATAAATAATCAACACAATATTAATTTTTTTTGTCAAAAGGGCCAGTAGAGATTGTATTTTAAAAGCATAGTTAATTTTGATTGGTATTTTATAAACGTGCTGGCAAGCCCAATCTCCTCTTTTTTTATTTTTTTTTGATGATGTTATCTTTTATCTTTTCACCAAAATAAGGAGAAAATTATAGGCTTTGTGCTTCACGACAGAGGCAACTTCACACAACAACCAAGCTTTCGAGGGATCAAGCTTTTAAGGGTTCCACCACAGATTTTGGACCAAGAAAACAGCAAGAAGAAACACCTTGAGGTTATAGGGAACAGACAAGGGCCAAATAAGTTACATGAATAAGGTTGTGCGACGGAAGAAGAAGACGATTATACCTAAGTATTACATTTTTCTTCAAAATCTCGGTTGGGCAATAATCAACGTATCAACTGAATTCGTCCTTGCAAATCTAATCATATCATTTACCCCAAATATGAAATGTGGCGAATTTGTGGACATTTATGAGTTATGTACTTTATTACATATATTGTAGCCAATCCAAAAAATAAAAGTGCAAATAAAATAAGTGAGAACCCTTTTTCTTTCTAACTTTGACAAAAAAATAAAATAAAAAAGGCAAACAAACAGAGAACTAACAAGTGGAATGGAACCGTGGAATAAACTTAGCTCTAGAATTCTCCAACCAAAATCAAAGCAACCCAACTTCCTTTCTTCCCAAACGCAACAGATAATCAACAGCAGAAGAAGAAAGCGAGCTGCTAAAATTAGCAAACGCAGACCTCTCCAGCTTCTAGTTGTGTTAGTTTTTATAACCGTTTCACCTGAAAGTGAAGAGAGAGAGTCCTGCCGAAACTTAAAAGCACTTTTTGTAGAAGTTGTTTTGGTTGGCCAGCCATGTCAGCCCTGGTGCTCAAAATGACCACAGCAGCCTCCTCTATATACCCCAAAAAGCCCTACCAAATCCTCTTCAATTCCATCTCCTCTCCCTCCCCTCCCCCAAATCGTAAAATCCTCGTTGCAGCATTATCGCAAACACATAAATACTCCGGCTGCAGGATAATCCCCTGCGCACCATTCCTCCCTTTTCCCCAAAACCCGTCCCCCAGATTCCCTGAATGCTTCTCCGCCTCCTCTTCCTCCCGCAACCGCAGTGACGCTAGTGGGGTTTCCTCCGAAGATCGCGGAGAGTCCTCTGGTGGGTCCGGCTCTGAGTCCGGCCCCGGTGGTGGTGGTGGTGGTGCTCTTATGGCCGATATGGGTTCGGCGAATCATAAAGGCGCCGATTGGTACGACAGCCCATTGTACCCGAACCAAGACGAATTGCTTTCTCCTCTGCAACATCAACAACAAAAACAACAGCAGCTGCAATCCCAATCCTCCTCCAAATTCCTTACCTTGCCCACCATTCTAACACTCGGCCGCGTCGCCTCCGTGCCGGTTCTCGTTAGCAGTATGATTTCGATTGAATTTTTTATTTCGTTGCAAATTGCATTGACTGCAATTGTGTATCTGGCTGATTTTTGAATCTCCGGTGTGGGTTTTGTTTGTTCTTTGACTTTTGTGTCTCTGTTGGGAGATCCAATGCAATTCGAGTAATCATATTTTGGCAATGATGTTGATTTGTATGATGTATTTTGCTAACTTTTGAATTGCCCTTGTGGTTTTCTTTTGTTTTTTGATATTGATGTCTCTGTTGGGAGTGTCAATACAATTGACATCTGGGTTTTGTATGCATTCTCGGTTTCTGCAGATTTGGTTTTGGAAGCATAATGTCCTTGCATTTGATTAGGCTAACCTTGGTTTTTTCTTTCTTTCAATGTCGTAGCTTTCTATGTCGATAGTTGGTGGGGAACAACTGCCACAACTAGTATTTTCATTGCTGCAGCAATTACTGATTGGCTCGATGGGTATATTGCTCGGAAGGTTAACTTATTTTCTTTTCAATTGATTTTGGGAATTTCAATTCTTGAGGTTGTTCATCGGGGTCAAATTATTGACTTTGTAAGAGTTTATTTGGGTTTCAGATGAGATCAGGATCTGCATTTGGCGCATTTTTGGATCCGGTAGCTGATAAGGTATTGTTTTCCCCACCAAAGTTAAAATGAAACACTTCCATTGTCAGTTTCAGCTTATTGAAATAAAAGTACTGCTTTTGTTATTATAATTCTTCTCTAAAACTGTTCTAGGGTTCTAAATTGATTGTCATTCCTGCTGAATGCAGCTCATGGTTGCAGCGACACTGGTTTTATTGTGTTCTAGGCCTTTGGATGTTGCTATGTTTGGGCAAGTTCCATGGCTCTTTGTTGTTCCTTCAATTGCCATAATTGGTAGAGAGGTATTATATTGTTCTATTTGTCTCCTTTATTTTCTTAGTTATTAATTAATCGATTCAGGGCTTGCTTTCTTGTATGCCTTGTTTTGGTGGACCAATAAAATATTTCACTGGTGTCTTAGTAAGTCAAAATTAAATTTGATTGTATTTTTTGCCAGGAAGTTATGGTTAGTAGAAAAATGAAGTGTGCCTGTATTTAACATGAAAATATTTGGGCATGATCTTGAATGTAGAAAAAGTACAAAGGCATCTTCATAAAGATGTTGGGTGTGCGTTGGGCTGGGGAGGCGGGGGTGTTGTTTGTTCAGGATATCATGTACTTGGACAGTATGTTGAATTGTGGTTTGAAAATACATTGGCATATCATTTCATCCATGTTAGGTATAATGTGGGCTTTTACTCTTTTTTGTGCATTCGTGTGCATATTCTGCATGTGAGTTTCCAAGTTCTACTGTTTCAGGTTCATAAAACAAATCTTTTTAACCTATATTCTGCTCCAACTAGTAATTATCTTATCGGCTATTCTCTCTTCCCCCACCCAACTTTTTCATTGATCAATTATTTGCATCCTGTAGTTTTATGGATTCCTCATGTTAATAACACTGTCTCACTAATTGCTTCTGCGTCTTACTTTTAGATAACCATGTCTGCAGTTAGAGAATGGGCTGCTTCTCAGAACGCTAAACTTTTAGAGGTTTGTTTTCCTTCCCCATGCGACCTCTGAACAACTGCCTTCTCATTTCAGAACTCATAGAAGATGTTAGCTGTAACTCAGATCGTAAATTAAGTTTTCGTTCAAATGATAAATATTCTCAGGCTGTAGCTGTAAATAACTTGGGAAAGTGGAAAACAGCCACACAGATGATAGCACTAACTATCCTCTTGGCAACCCGAGACAACAGGTACATCGTCTGGTTTTCTTGAATTTTGGGCTATTCTTTTTAGGTCAATACAGATGAAATAGTTTATTAGTTTAGTTTCTGACGCCATTTTCATCCATCTGTCATCCAACTTGTGCAGCCTTGGAAGACCAGAGGTTCTAGTAGCTTCTGGTGTTGTTTTGCTTTATGTTTCAGCAGGCCTTGCTGTATGGTCTTTGGTTGTGTATATGAGCAAGATATGGAAGGTACTGCTGAGGTAGTGTGTGCGCCACTCCTCTATGTTCACTGATACACATACTTCTCGATCGAGCAACCATTTCAAATGCGAAGAGGTACTTGTCAGTGCTCTCTGTACATGAACCCAGTAATGATCAATCTTGCACAGCGTTCCGCTGATAGTCAATGGAGGGGACAACACATTATTGCTAGAGATCTTGAAGCATTTAAGTAAATTTTGCTTTAATATTTTGGGGTGGGTAGTATCATTTTGTTTAATCGCTGCCCTCGACGACTTTATATTCTCACAGATGTCATGTCAGGTTGATCTAATTTTTTGGAGTAATACCTGGATAGAGATGTTGAAACAAAATTTCTTCATTGCGTATCATATTTAAGGCGGTTATTCAATATTTTTATCTGTTCACTGATTCGGGAAGATTCTGGTTCTTTGAAGCGAGGTTAGGATGGATCATGTTGCGTTAATAAGTTGCTTCTGCAGTTTGGTGTTGGAGATGATTTATGTGCTTGTTGATTTCAGAAAGTGTAAACAAAAAGTATCTACGGTTAAATAAAGCAGCTTTCTAAATTCCCTTGGCTATTCCAACTGCTTATGGCTTTTACTTTCAAGCAGAACATTTTTTAGATTTCTGCAGGATCTCATAAGATTGATTAGTTTTCCTTGTAAGGTTGTGCCAGGAAAAAGGAACTGTTTGTACGTTATGTGGAGGAGTCGTTCCTTACGGCAAAATTATAGCTTGAAACGAGTGCATTAACTTTTCTGTGAGGAATGACTTCTTACGTATAGATATGGTTATTTTCGACAACTTCGTCAGAATTTTGTCAAAATGAGTTATGTTGGAAGGATCATTGCTACAATTGGGTTAAAGTTAAAGGATCATTGCTCCAATTGGATTAAAGTGAGGGATCATTTCTCCAGTTGGATTAAAGTTAAGGGACCATTGATACAATTTTTCTTACATATTTGCCTCTTGATTCAGCCTCTTTTACATGGGCACGTGACTCATTTTAACGGAAGTTCTAATAGAGTTGACGAAAATAATCATAGCTGCACGTTTTAAGAAGTTGAGGGACCATTGATAATGGACTTTTAGTTGAGAGATCATTGCTCCAATTGAGTTAAGGTTGAGGGTCCATGACAACAATTTACTCAAAATCTAAGTGCTTCATGTAAAATCTCTTAAAAGTGCTTCATGAAAAAATATTTGACAAGTGCTTCTCCAGAAAGCACTTTTATGATTGACAGAAAGACTGAGAAAGTCAAGAAAACCAAGTCCCTAACAATTTGGTTATCACATAAAATTATTCTTAAAAGGAAAGCTGCAAGTACCAATTCAGCTAACTTATTACACAAGAAATGAAGATTCGCTTGAATAATTACACCCCCAGTTTTTGGGAATTATGATTTGGTTCTCCAGGTTCTCCGAACCACCATCAGTACTTTGCAACGCATACGAGCGAAACTTGGAACATCTGCATCGATTCCTAACTTTGCTATGCTGATTTCATTTCTGAGCCTGCAAAACCAATGAACTAAGAAATTAGCATTTGAAAACGACGAGAATTGCCTTCCTAACATGCTGCAACAAGAAAATTACCAAAAACCGTCTCTTGTAACTTTCGACAAGCTCTTTGGGATCACGCCGCGTCTGTTTGTAAGCTACATTTTTGTCCATCTCCTACAAGAGCGATATACATATATATTCATACGAGTAACCTTTTCGATCAAATTTTGAATCCAACTTTATAATCTGAATTATGAAATACATAAACTCGTGTTTTAAACTTGGAATCGTTGTGTACCTCAATCCATGCTGCCAGTTTAGGTCTGCCTGCAGTGATGTCATACTTCTTCACGTCCAATAAGAGAGGCCGAAATCTTTCAAGGAATGGAGCATAAGCTATATCCACCTGAAAGTAAGAGCAAACTTAAAAAAACTTCAACTGTTGCCCAAAACTTCATATGAATTTTGTACGCGAGGATGGAGACTGTCCTGTAACGCTCAAGGAAAATGAAACTTAAACACTAATTGACAGAAAACAGATATAGCTGCGATATTACCAGACTGAACTTGCCAAGAAAGAAGGGTCCATCTTCGAATTTGGAAAGAGCAGTTTCGATATAGTCAAATGAAGCACCTGCTTCAACACACGACTATGGTTAATAGGAGCCCAGTTTCAACTTAAATCAAATAAAATCGAAAGAAGCAAGTGGTCGTCTCACCAGCTGCCTTGATTTCATCTTCTTTAATTGACGAAAACACAGATTTATTGAAGGTGTCTGTGTAGGACAGCAACTCTTCTGCAAACTCTTTCTTTGCTTGATCCTATATTTGCAGAGTATAAGGTTTTGTATAACATAGAGCAGTCAATATTCAGTAACCAAGTATTCTTGAAATCTTACGTCAGGGAACAGTGAAGGCCCTTCAAAGTGACTGTCAATGTATCTAATCAAATCAAGACTCTCTCCTTTCACTTCGTTATTGTGTTCAAGTGAAGGCACCTGCGTTCAAATTTCACATCAGACACGCCTTGTAGAGAAAATGCAATGGGAAATTAAGCATACGAATGACACAGAAATTTTGTGCAGACATAATGGCTGGAAACATCCCATTGGCTCCTTTTTCCATATAATTAACCAGTGCGGTTTCTGTGAACTCCACAACAGGGCAGTATTTTAGATGCCTTATGATACGGGAGCATTTCGTTGTAATGCAGCACAAAACAAATGAAAACAGCCTTGTAAGCTTGTAGCATATGCTCTAGTTTCAAAATTTCACCTTGTTAGCAGGGTAGACTTTCTCCTTGTACCAAGCAGGCCTGTCTTGCAGATCAATAGGAACCAACTGTATCTTTTCCTCCAATCCCTGTTCATAAGAATCATCAATGATTAAAAGGTTTGATCTTGGCGGTGAGAACAAAAACAGCCAAAGTACCAGCGTACTCAACACAGTAGCAAACATCCACAAACCAGCAAGCATTAAGAGTTGCCCGCAGAATCAATATCCAATTTGGTAGCTCCGAAAAAAGTATGCCAAGGAAACAGATTAAGTTTTCCCTTTTGTTTCTACTGGAACTTCAGATACAAGAATCCGATTCAGAAGTCCCGGGCCTTCTACTCTAAAAGCTTCACTTGAGCAGTTCTATTCATTTTTTGCAAAGCCAAACGACACGGATGAAATACTCTCAAAGTTCTTTTGTTCTCCTTAAGTATTTTTGCAGCCATTCTAATCAACTCAATAAAACCAAACAATGAAATGTTCTTGAAACAACCTTACAATTCCGGGCAATCCACGCACGCTGCGCATACGGGCACTGGTAAGATATATACAACCTTCAACAATCCAAAAACCCAACATTTTCCAACGGTCAGATTCAAACTAAATGCAATTAAGTACTGAAAACCTAGTAATCTACACCAACCTTGTATTTCCATCGAAGATTGGAGGTGGGTCCGATGTAGAAGTAAGAGCTGGTGGAAGAACCTCTTGCCCGCTTCCCACATAAGAACAAGAAAACCAAAAACAAATACGCAAAACAAGATTGCTCACTAATTTATGAAGTAAAAGATGGAGACTTTTACAATTCTAGCAACTGGGTTCTTAAAAACAGAGAAGAAAGGTAAGAACTTTAGTTTGAACTGCACGAAATTTCCCATCTACTGTAACATACCCAGTCGCCATAGTTGCAGAGACTGAAGCTCTGGTTTTCTTTCCAGGGGAAGCTCGAAGACGAAGCTTGGGTGGAGACAATACGGCGGCGTTTGGAAATCTGGCTGTCACTGATATCTTGGAGAGAGAATCTGAGATGCGCGGCCAAGATTTCGGAGATGGTGATGGTGAAAAAGCAGCAGTGCTTCTCAATCTCACTTTCAAAGTCGCCATTTTGCGGTTTGAGTTGGTTTTGATTGGTTGTTACGTATTTATGTTCTCAACGGATTTTACAGAAATTTTCCGGGAAAAAATAAATAAAAATTAGGGGTATGATGTCCACACACTCTATTTTATTTCTTACATATTTTTTTAATTTTCAGCCGTCGGATCGGATGAATTGAAAAGATCAACACACTTAAATTATCAATGGTGTGTGAGAAGTAAAATATGATGTGTGGATAGCATATCTCAAAAATTATTATTTGAGAAAACTAAAGGCCAAAAGGAGAAAGAGTCTGCATTTTAGATTAAGATATAAAATATCCAATGATTTTTGGATTTGAGCCATTGGTTAAAACAAAAGCCTAAAAAGTTATACAAATGATATGCTATTTTAAATTAATCTTTTAATATTCCAAAAATATAGCTACGTGTTATTTCTATTGGGCTTTTTAATTGTTAAATATAAATGACTAGAATTTACAGAGATACAATGGTTGAAATGAAAGAAACAAAATCTGAAAGCTGAAAACAAAATTGTGAAAATAAGTCAAAATTTGAGAAGCGATATAAGAAATTCATGTTTCAAGCCGAAAAAAAACCTTATGTTTTCACGTCATGTAATTTAAAATACATTACTTGATATAGAGTCCGGGTGCAAGTTGAATTGGAGATTTCGATGGACATAATGCTTCCAATTTTATATTTTCAAGGCAAACATATATAATTCATGCAAATTGAAATTGTAGCTCTCAAAAGAAAAAAAATTAACAATAATCATGTCATGTTCCAATGGCTAGGAACTTTCTGCAGAAATTTTCTGAGACTCTCAAGTTCTCTAGCTACTCTCTTTCCATTTATACTGAAATTTCATGTGGCATTAAATGTATAAATTAAAAATTTTAAAAAATTTTAAAAATCCATAAAGCACAGCCATACTATACATCAGAAGAAGAGAGAAGAAAAAGGGGAAAAAATGGAAAAAAAGACCCAAAAATCTGCCTTGAACTCCCTTCTTTGTATAGAAAACAAAAGCTTTTGTTTGTTTCTTAGTACAAGTGAAGAAAACCAGGGGGTTTTTGAGTGAGATAGATCCATTTGAACCTCCTAAATCTAGGTGCCGGTGGCAGGGACACCACCACCTGCCTTAACGGAAAGCAGAGGCCCGTGCCCGTAGCTATGACTGACCAGATGCGAATCTAGGAACAGAACTACCACTGTGATGTCGTCGTGAAAATGTCTCCTCACGCCTCGGTCTATCTTTTTTAAGTCCGAATATCGCATTTCTCTCTTCTTTGCTGCTTCATGAAGCGCGGCTTTCACAAGTTTCCTTGCAATACCCTGCACAAATACAGGAAAACATTATAGCAGGTGGAATAGCAGCTTCAACAAAAGACAATTTCGATCTGAGATACTGAGATACTGAGATACTGAGCTTATGATATCGTACGCGCAAAATAAGACTGATCGCCCGAGAGCCAGAAGATAGTTGAGTAAATACTAAAGAAAGCCAAAACTTGTCAGAGGAACCATACATTACGCGGATAGCTCTGGACAATGTCAACTGCGTCCTGATTGCTTAACTGCTCCCATAGGCCGTCTGATGCAAATATGAGAAACTGATCCTCAGGGTAGAGTTTTTGGACTAGGATAGTTGGCTCAGCTTTAAGGATCGGCTTGTTGAAGGGTTGTGATAATCTGAACTTTGCCAATAGAGGTTCTTTGTTAAATTCTTGCCTCTTCAGGTAGGCATCGCCGATGGATCTTGAAACCTGCAAGACAAGCAAACATCTCTAACATGAGTGCTGCTCTACTGTGCACGCCATGCCATCTTTGTGAAGAGGACAGGCAAATTTGGTCACGAGCGTAGAAGATTTCAATGAATGAGAATTACCAAAACTTCAAAGCAAAAATTATGCCAACCTAACCAGAGGTTTCATAGTTTATCTTAAACAAACTCTGTTCTAATTTAATTAATCCGTTATGATAGGGGAAGACAGGCCTGACCCAAGGGCTTCATAACATATACTTTCACCAAAAGACTAATAAATATTAATGTCCAAAAGATCTCAAATCATTTGTTAAAATGCACCAGAGCATTCCTCCAGCAAATTTGCAAAATTGTTCGAAGCTCCGGGTTCAAAAATAAAAGTCAATACACATAAACCTCAATTGTTTAGTTCCAAATCCATTCCAATAATGGCACCACGCCCTAGTCAGGAAATATAATAAATGAAAACATTGCGAAAACTAAAGGACTTACAGACGAAAATACTCAGCCACACACAAGTCAAAGGGGAAAACGATCACTATATATGTATGCGTACCCTGGTAACAGAAAATGAATTGGAAAACATTACACGAAATTAAGAACAGATAAGAAAATTAATCACCTGTATCAAACCCTTCACGCGCCACACCTTGTGCTTTAACATCACAATCTGTGGATCATTGGGATGCAACGAGTGCAACTCCTCTCTCACAGATTCATGACTTGCATTGTGCTCAATCGATAACTGAACTGCTTTTACCTGCTTAACGGTATTTTCCAGTCTGCCTAGCACCACACGAGAATCCCCCGCATTTGCTATGTATAGCAGCCCACTACATACTATGCCTACTAAACAACATGCACCAACAGAAGCAAGCAGTGGCTTGATTGCCCACTGCTTCTTTACTAGAGAGAGGAACTCCTCTTCGGTCGCCAAAAATGCTTTGGTGATAACATCGGCTGACATTCCTTGATTCTCTGATGTGAACTCTGCACCACGGAAAGCTGTCAAGTCAGTAAATATATGCATTAGCTATCTAAGTAGTGGAAGCGAAACCTGCATAAATAAGATATCTGTTATACCATAAAAACTGATAACAATAGGGACAATTACGTGACCAGAACCTCAGTAGTTCGTAAATTTTCATAATTAGTATTATGACATATAATTCGTGATCGAGGAGGTCGTTGTTAATGAAAGAAAATTCAAGAAATCCAGTCCAAACCACGTGTTTTACACCTCACTCTGGAACCTCAAAATTGCCATAATAATAACGAAATTCTTACCCCACTGATCCCGATTCTGACTCAAACATCATCAGTCGAGCATTGCAAAATGAATAAACTGTCACTACAAAGATAATCCCAGACAATAAGGCTCCCACCCGAGCATTGAAATAGCTCTTGATGATCGCATGTGTAGCAAGCATGCAAGACAGATCACACCAAAACGACTATACCTTGTTTAATACTACCTTCTCAGGTTTTTTTTTTAATAATAGGAGCATTAGTTCAGTTATCACAATTACCAAACTCCTCAATCGGTCTAAAAAAGATGAATTTAGGAGGAAGAATAACGCACTCTTGATATTGTTGAACAGGTGTTCATTTAAAAACCGGGCTGTTTCTGGACCTCCGTGTCCATCATAAATTCCAACAAATGTTCCATGAGGACCTGATTCGAGGGAGCTCAATGGCCCCGATTCCAGTTGGCTATGGTCTTCCAACAAATTGTTTGCTTGAATTACTGCCATCGAGAAATCTCCATTAACATGATGCCCTGAATCTTTATGCCACAACAAACCATCAATTCGACCACTCACGTCCCCCCTATTAGAATTTTCACCCTCGAAAGATGGTTTCCAGCAAGGTGACACAAGTTTCAGAAAAGTAGTTGATACCATCCCTCACATATTCTCAACCAAATGACACCGGAATTAAATTATTCAACGAGTCATCGTTGTGAACATGAGCTAATCCTCGCGCCGCCTCTAGCTTCCCTACAATTACAAAATCCAAGAGGTGTAAATCATCGAACTATGATCGGTATGTGAATAACCTGCATATAAATTTACGAGTAAACATTAAATTGCAAACAGAACCAAAGTCAAATTGAAAGGTGTGCAAAACAAGATAATATGAGTTTAGGAAGATAATTAACTTCCAGGTAATTATTGAAAAGGGGCACAAATAAATAAAATGGGCATGTCCAGAAACAGCACAATATTCCCAGATAATTAAAATGCAAAATAAAAACTAATAGGTATTTCAGAAAAGACACGAACTTTGTCATGAAAAAACATCAAAACCATAAATTCAATTGTCCAACATATACTTAAGACCAAACAAACATCTGGGGTACGAAAACACAACATTGAATCATAACTCAAACAACAAAAGTTCATGTCTTTAAGAATTCAAAAACAAAAACTCCATACCTTGTATTCGATATGTTGGAGCCTTGGAGGGGGATTCTTCTGGCCTTTGTCTATGACGATTCAACTACCATCCGAGAGCTCAGAAGAACATTTTTATTCGGATTAGACTGAGAACCAATGAAGCAGATTTGGAATGTTCTGACAGAAAAAAAAGGTTGTCAGAAACGTGGAAAGGGTTAGATCGAAGGAATGAAGAGAGAGAAATAGAGGTAGAGAGATAAAGCAGAGAGGGGAGAGAAAGAGAGAGAGGGAGCAGTAAATTGGTTCTCTTTATTATTTAACAACAAAAAAAAGGGTTATAATCTTATTGTTTCTTGCAGGGAAAGAGAAGATCAAGCATGGAGAAAGAAGAATACAAAGTTACAAACCCCTCGCCCTCGGTTTGAAAAAACCATGATAAGGCAGAGAGCTGAGGCCTTTCGGGTTGGATTTTCAGTTTTGGTATTCTAATTTATGGGCTGGGGTTTTGACTTTGACCTCCAACAAACCACCATTTTAGGCAGCTTTTGCTCATCTTCCCGTCCCCAACCTTTATTTAGTAACAACTCCCTTCTAATAAGTTGTTCTAAAGAATAATCATTCCCACTTTGCCAATTATATTGTGTTGCCTTTGGGAATTTCTTGGGAATATAGTTGTCAACTTGTTGCCACTATCTATTACCAAATAATTTGTATCATGTTGCATAAATCATAATAAAAAAACATATTTTATTATCTGAATTTAAGTTTCATCACATTTGTTACAACAATGTTATATGCATCTAAACTTAGGTTCTAATTCTCCTTCCAATAGTTCAGATGAATTTAATGTAATTATATTATCATTTGGC